AAAAAAAGGAATGGGTAACTATGATACAAGCAAATGCAACTTAAAGGGTCTCCAAGAACCAAACGAGATATGTTACAGCAGTGCTTCTCAACCTTGACAATTTTAAGGCATGTGGACTTCAACTCCCAGAATTCCACAGCCAGCAATGCTAGCTGTGGAATTCTGGGAGTTGAAGTCCACATGCCTTAAAATTGTCAAGGTTGAGAAACACTGTGTTACAGCAATGGAGACTACTTACGATCACAATTGAACCCAACATTTCTGTTGCTAAGGGAAACATCTGTTAAGTGAATTTTGCCCCATTTTACAACCTTTCTTACTACAGTTGTTAAGTGAATCACTACAGTTGTTAAGTTAGTATCTGACTTCCCTACTGAGTTTGCTTGTCAGAAGGTCGCAAAAGGTTGACCCCAGGACTCTGTAACTGACATAAATATGAATCAGTTGCCAAGCATCTGAATTATGATCACATGACCATGGAGCTACTGCAATGGTCGTTAAGTGGGAAAAACAGTCATGTCACTTTTTTTCAGTGCCACTGTAACTTTGCAGAGTCACCTGTATATTTGCAGAAATATAAATGAAGCACCTACACAACTATCCCCAAACAACAGACGCATAAGCTCCCTGATGTGCAGTGATGGAAAAAATCTAATCTAGGCTTAGTCCTGCTGACTAAGGAATGCTTGTGCTCTCAACTCTGGCTAATCTAAAGCTTGCTGGTGGGTTTATACTTGTTAAACCAGGATATACCTGTAGATTGCCCGCTTAGATAAAGCATAGAACAGTGGTTCTCAACCTTTTTATACGGCGACCCCGGTCATAAGGACGCGCCGCGCATGCGCGGCGGCGCCCCATGTGTGGCGGCACCCCATGCGCGGCGGCGCCGCCTGAGGAAAAAAATGGCGGATCGCGTTGTTTGGCAACCCCCGTAAAATGGTTGTTCGACCCCAAATGAGGTCGCGACCCAAAGGTTGAGAACCGCTGGCATAGAAGCACAAAAATGAAAAGCTTATAAACAGCATTCCTGTGTTGCATTTTCTCAGTTTTGCCCTCTCATATCCCTCAAAAAGTCACTGTGTTTGTTTTCTCTGAAGGTGGGGAACAAAGAACACAGACTTTGCATTCATCCTAGACAAAATCCAACTTAAGAAACAGACCAGATGTAGTTCAGAAAGGGCAATAATAGCTCTCTGGCTGAAAATAGCAAAGTTCGACCCGTTGCCGATTCATTCTCTTTGGTGGCAACACCAACCTTCGTTAACAATATGAATAAGAGTTTTTGCAAACAGTGGTGAATTATGAATAGTAACATACAAGTGGCTTAATTCATGTAGGGTTTAAACCATGATCTGTAGATCAAGTCATAATGGTCTGATTCACAAATCATACTAACCCACAATGGCCAAGTTCACATACTACGCTAACCTAAGGGCAGCAATGTAATGAAGGGTAAAGTGGAAAATAAGAAATTGGCAAATAAGATGTAGCTTCTTGAATTTGATTGCACAAGCAGAACAGAGCAACCACAGTGGGAAAGCCCAAAATTTGATAGTGAACACAAAGCCGTAATGAATTGGTTTGATTTCAGCTCAGTATGATGTACAATCAGGTCACCATGGATTATGACTTAGAGGTTCAGATAAGATATATGTGGTAGGTTGGCAAATTGAAAATATGTGGACTTCAATCCCCAGAATTCCCCTGGCTGGGAAATTCTGGGAATTGAAGTCCACACATCTTCCAGTTGTCAAAGATGAAAGATACTGATTTAAGGAAACGTGAATTTGATCATAATCTATTAATAATATAATCTTCAAACTGCAATATTCCCCAACAGTTCCAAAGGATCTCTCCAGCTGGGTTCAGCCATGTCTTATTCAACTATTCTTCTTGAATGGGCCAAAATAAGATGAGTTTGAACACACTAAGCCAAGAAAAATGGGCTATACAACAGATTAGTGTGATGAGCAACACAAATATCTGAAGTAATTTTAGGAGCCTCAGCTTCCTCTTAGGAAGGTTGAACAAACATCCACTTTCCTACAGTCTGTGGAGAGTCTCTGAATTTGCCACGTCTTCCAAGTCACGGATAGGGATTTCTCCATGATGTTCAAGACATTCTTGAGAATTGAAATATACCCAGAACCAAAATGCCCAGTGTCCATGTTAGCCAAAAAATTAAAAAGTGCAAAATTCTTTCTCATACACATTATTTCTAAAACTGTAGCTGGAGAAAGTTTGACAATGAATCTTAACTGCAAACAAAATTACAGCCCAGCCACACCCCCAGCTTCAAAGCCTTTAAACCACAAGTATTCAAACTTTTTCATCCCTCAAGCATTAATTGGGAGATGGGAGAGGGGAGAGAGAGGGGGGGGAGAGAGAGGGAGAGACTTCAAGCTTTAATCTAAAAATGCAAGGCTCTTTCTTTGTCCTAATAAATACTCAAGCTAACTATGGTCATAATTTTATAGGAACCCCAGTATCCACAAAAGCATAACACATTCATTACTGTAACTAGCAGTGCTTGCCTGGGGAATGGAATTCAAGGCTATGTGTGCTTCAATAAAACAAACAAACTGGAGTTGGTATGCCTTTTAGTTTAAGACCAGACATACATATATCAAAGCACAAAGCACAGATCCTTCGCCAAACCTTTCAGAAGCAGATTTTTTGATTCTCACATAGCAGACACACTTCCAAGGGAAGGACAAGAAGCTGATTAAAAGCAGCGTTTCCAGGGATAGAAGATTATTTCTTCAAATCCATGACTTCCCCTGCTCCCTCTGAACTTTAGAACAGAAGCTGTGTCAGGCTGGATGGGACCCGTGACCCATCTAGCCGAGCTGTCTTTTCTCCCAGTGGGCAACCAAGTACCTGAGGAAGCCCACCTGTCTCCCAACAGATGGGCTCTAGAGAAGGAGAAGATAGAGAAGAGAAAGAGAAAAGCAATAACAGAACGTAAGTGGGCTGCTGAATGGGACCCTGGCCCATCTAACCTGTAATCCTGGTGGCCAACTAAAGGAAGTTCAGGTGTCTCCCAATAGATGGTCTTCAGAGGAAAAAAAAGGAAGAACTGACCACGTAAGAGGTACCCTGCTGGATTGGATCACTAGTCCTTCTAATCCAATGTCTGTGCCAGAGGTGCTTTTTCAAGAGGCAACTGGACGTTCTTTGTTGGTCCTTGAAGATGTTTCACTTCTCATCCAAGAAACTTCAGAGCTGAAGAAGCTCCTTGTATGAGAAGCGAAATGTCTTCAAGTCCACTTGCCTCTTCAAAAAGCACCTTTGGGACAACCTTGAACTGGGTGACTGAGAATCTTCATGGACATTTAATCCAATGTCTCCTCACAAGGAGCCCATCCACTGCCCAAGGGAGCCAACCAGTCTCCCAGCAGATAGACTTCAGCCCCTCCTATCACCAAGGCTAAAAGCCCCTTACCCCCCAGGATCCCCCCTCTGCAAGGAGAGAAGCAACCTAGAATCAAGGAGAAACTTCCTGACAATGAGATCAATCAACCAGAGGAACAGGTTGACTTCAGAAGTTGTGGGCGCATCAATACCGGAAGCTTTAAAGAAGAGATTGGACAGTCACCTGTCTGAAATGGTATAGGGTTTCCTGCCTGGGCAGGGGGTTGGACTAGAACAGGGCTTTTCAACCAGTGGTACGGGTACCACCTGTGGTACATTGGCGCCTGGCAGGTGGTATGCTAGAAAAGTGGTAGAGGGGGAGGGGAATGAGCTGAACTGGTGGCAGCACCGCACAAGCCTGAGCAAGAGACAGCTGGAGCTGCAGGGCTGTCAGGGCTCAGCGGAAGCACCAGGATCAGTGCCACTTTCCAGCTTATCAGCGCTTCTTCGGGGCTGTCAGGGCTCAGGGAAAGCACCAGGATCAGCACCAGGCTCCAGCTGGAGCTCGACACTGATCCCGGTACTTCTGCTGAGCCCGGAAGAAGCACCGATCAGCTGGAATGTTGCAGCATCTCCAGGGTCTTGTGATTTACATTCAGACGCTTGGCAACTGATTCATATGTATGATGGCCACAGTGTCCCAGGGTCATGTGAAGTGACCAAAACCTGCTGCAACCACCCAGCAGACAGGGGGAATTAAAAACAAAACACTCCCCCACCCCACCCCCACTGCCAATCCTCGACAGAAATGCTCACAACAATGAAAACCTCGGACAGGAGGAAGAGCGCCGTCGGCACTGTCTTGCTCGGCTGTGGCCATTGTAACTTTGAACAATGGCCAGTCACTAAGTGAACTGTTGTAAGTTGAGGATTTTATCACTTTTTTCCTTTTTTGGGGGGGGGGTCATCATGTTTTTGACACCTTGCTAGGCGACTGGTGGTACTCGGATATTGCCATATCCTAAAAGTGGTACAATGGGTGAAAAGGTTGAAAAGCCCTGGGCTACATGACCTCCAAGGTCCTTATTCTGATTGACTGAGGACCCAATCCGCAGGTCATCCCAAACAGCGGGAAACCGAACATCCTCTCCAGGAGCAATCCGTACATCCTGCCCTCCAAAAGTCAGCGCCTCCCCCGCTTTTTTGCGAGGTCACCGTGACCCCAGCGAGGGCCGGACGGCACCTGCAACCCTCCCCTCCTTTTTTGACCCCAGGTCTTCCAAGAGCCGTAGCCCACGCCCACCACGGACATGCAGCCTCTCACCTGGGAGGATGGCAAGGGTCTCCCTTCTCTTCTCCACCACCCCCCAATTGAGAGGGCAGCAGGCGAGGAGGGGGGGGGGCTGCATGGGGCTGCCCTCTTTTGCACCCAGGCATAGCAGCATCGGTGCCTGCAGAGGAGGGATGGGCAGGAGGATGCCACCAACAACAACCCGCTCCCGGGATCCCAGAAGACCCACAGCTATCCCCCCCGGCCGGGGCAAAGCCGTCCCTACCGCTGCAGAGCCGCCCCCCCTCCTGGGCGCCCGCGGGCACCAGGTACGCGCACGCCCCCTCTGCCCAGCCACGGGCCTAGCCCGACTCACCGATCACCTCCTCCAGCTCGTAGTCATCCTTGTCGATGGACCAGGCCAGCGAGCCGGAGTCCTCCGCAGTCATGGCAGCCCCGGCTCCGAAGCTGGGAGGGAGAGAAGAAGTTGGGCCGGGCACAGCTGCCGCCGCCGCCGCCTCGCACGGGCCAAACTTCGCCCGGTCTGGCTTCCCACCTGCCCTTGCCCAGTGACGTCACGCGCACGGCACGCCGCCCCCGGGTGAGGCGGGACTCCGCGGGCGCCATCTTGAGCGGGTCGTTAGCGGCTCGGCGCCGCCCCTTCCCGGCGCGCCGAAGTTGAGCCCATCCGCCCACTCTCCTCGATCCTTCTCCGGCTCTTGTTTTATCTCTCGAGGGGAAACTCGGCCCTCTTTCCTAGCTTTCCCCGCTGGGGATAGGGAGAGTGGCCCGAGCGACGTCACTCACAAGATGGCGCCGGCGGCCTGAGGCCCCGCCCTTTGGGTCACAGAGGGTGGCCGGAGATTGGCGAAAGGAAGAGAGTGGGAGAGGAGGAGGCTGTCTCGGTTATTGGCTGGGGCGCTGTCAATAATGCTTTGAACCCGCCTTTGCTGCATGGGGGTGGGATTAACGTCGAGAATAGAATAGAATAGAATAGAATAGAATAGAATAGAATAGAATAGAATAGAAAGGGACCTTGGAGGTCTTCTAGTCCAGCCCCCTGCTTGAACATGAGAACCTATATCATCTCAGACAAGTGACTGTCCAGTCTCTTCTTAAAAACCTCCAATGATGGAGTGCCCACGATTTCTGGTGGCAAACTGTTCCACTGGTTAATTGTCCTCATTGTTAGGAAGTTTCTCCTTAATTTCAGGTTGCTCCTTTCTTTGATTAGTTTCCATCCATTGTTTCTTGTCCTGCCCTCTGGGGCTTTGGAGAATAATGTGACCCCCTCTTCTTTGTGGCAGCCCCTCAAAGACTGGAAGACTGCTATCATGTCACCCTTAATCCTTATTTTCTCCAGACTAGCCAAACCCAAGTCCTGTAGCCATTCTTCGTGTCTCCAGGCCTTTGATCATCTTAGTTGCTCTTCTCTGAACTTTTTCCAAGGTCTCAACATCTTTTTTGTAATATGGTGACCAAAACTGATTGCAGTATTTCAGATGTGGTCTCACCTAGAGTTTTAATATTTCATGTGATCTTGACTCTATGCCTCTGTTTATACAATCCAGGATTGAATTAGCTTTTTTTGGCAGCTGCTGCACACTGCTGGCTCATATTCAAGCAATCGGCCACTAGGACTCCTAGGTCCCTTTCAGAGTTACTGTTTTTGAGCCAGGTCTCCCCTAATCTGTACTTGTACCTTTGTTTTTTCCTGCCTAGATGTAAAACTTTGCTCTTCTCCACATTAAATTTCATTTTGTTGGATAGGGCCCATTGTTCAATTTTGTGAGATCTTTTTGGATCCTAAGCTTGTCTTCTGGGGTTGGCTATTCCTGCCAGTTTATGTCATCTGCAAATTTGATGAATTCCCCTTCTATTCCCTCATCTAAGTCATTTATGAAGATATTGAAGAGTACTGGGCCTAAGATGGAGACTTAGTGGTACCCCTCTGCTTACTTCTCTCCGTGAGGATGTAGTGCCATTGAGGACTACTCATTGAGTACAGTTTGCCAGCCAGCTACAGATCCTTCTGGTGGTGATGTTGTCTATTCCACATTTTTCTAGCTTACCAAGAAGTAGGTTGTGGCCTACTTTGTCAAATGTCTTACTGAAATCTAAGTATACTACATCACAGCATTTTATTGGTCTACTAATTTAATCACTTTATCAAAGAATGAAATAAGATTGGTTTGGCATGATCTGTTTTTAACAAAGAAAAACACATCGAAGCAAATTATAGTACTAGAGAGTCCTAGGCTAATAACCACAAGAGAGCCCAAATTCCATTGTTAATCCATTTATAAAATAAATTAAGTAAACTTTATCCCATTCTTGCCACAATATTGATTAGTGAATCACTGACGTTGTTAAGTTAGTCACACAGTTGTTAAGCGTACCTGACTTCCTTATTGATTTTGCTTATCAGAAGATCACATGACTCCAGGACCCTGCAACCTTCATAAGTGTATGAAATTTGATCATGTGACCATGGGGATACTGCAATCATAAGTGTGAAAAAAATGATGTCATTTTTTTTTACAAGTGCCGTTGTAACTTCGATCATTACATGAATAGCTGTAATTTGAGGACTATCTTGTACTATAATTTGGCTTCTTTTATGCCAGTGGTGGCGAACCTATGGCACGGTGCCAGAGGCGGCACTCGGAGCCCTCTCTGTGGGCACACGTGCCGTTGCTCCAGCCTTGCCTCCCCCCATGACCCCTTCCTCTCCAGCAGCCCCCCTGAAGGAGAGTCATCCCCGAGCGTGGCCCACATGGAGCAGCGCAGCCAAGGACATGGCAGCCAGGCAACGTAGACAAGACTCTGCCTCACACCCCATCATGCAGTTGATGCTGCAGGGCGTGGGCAGAGGTTGTGGCCGCCATAGCGTTGCTGGGCTGCCTGGGCGATCTGCAGTGGGCCCTGGAGGCAGTGAGTGGCTCTGCGAGCAGGCGGGGCAAGGGATGGGGAGGCAGAGTGGGGGCAGGGCAGGGGAATGGAGCGGGGTCGGGACCAGTTTTTGGGCACTCGGTCTCTAAAAGGTTCGCCATCACTGTTTTAGGCTGTTCCTTTCCTTTGCTTAGAGTGGGAGGGAGTCGGAAAAGACTTCAGAGTATGCCTGCATGTCCTAAATTATCACTGGAATTTACACTCTGTACTACTTCATCATTTTTGAGCCAAGTGGCCAAAGCATGCACAAAGGACCCAGATTGTTGGGGGCAATGTATATATATATATATACATTGCTTACTGGTGTACACCACTTAGAGAGTGCTTGCACTTAAAGCGGTATATAAGTCTCATAAATAAATAAATAGAAATAAAAAGTATATTTCTCATACACTGGATAGTTGTTTAAAAGGAACAGTTGGAATGACAGATAGCTACAGATGCCTGCTTCTGAGCGGAAATATACTTCAACACCCAACCTGCCAAGCTGTCTGTGGGCATTTGAAGGACAGCCTTTCGGTTCTGCAGAACTTGGATTTTAAAAAGTCGATAAGGGCTTAATATCTTTCTGGAAGTGAGGAACCACCCAGCAGAAAGATGGGCAAAGAAGTGACTAGGGGAGATGAAACAAGCCAGAAGAAGCCTGGAAGAAGCTAACATTGTATAAGAAGCTGCTGAAGGCACTGTGTAACTTGAGCCTGGAGAAAAGAAGACTACAAGAAGACAGAATGGCTGCTTTCAAGGATTGCAAAGACGAGACAAGACATGATGCATTAAACAGGAGTGGGGAACGATGGCCCCTTTGTGACTGCTGGACTTCAACTCCCAGAAATCCTGAGCCAGCCAAGAATTCTTTTCCTAGACTGCCTCCATGCTGGCTCAGAAATTCCGGGAGTTGAAGTCTAGCAGTCACAAAGGGGGCCATCATTCCCCCCCCCCCCCGCATTAAAATGACATGGAAGCAGATCTGGGACATCAGGAAATTTAATGACAAAGCCTCATGATTGAACAAGGGCTGAGCAGCCATCTCCCATGGACACTGCAGCAATGGATTCTTGTACAGGGCAGGGGGTTGGGCTAGATCAGGGCTTTTCAACCAGCTGTACGGGTACCACCTGTGGTACATTGGCACCTGGCAGGTAGTACGTGACCATCCTAGAAAAGTGGTAGTGGGGAAGGGGAATGAGCTCAATCGGTGGCAGCACTGCACAAGCCTGAGCGACAGGTAGCTGGAACTGCAGGGCTGTCAGGGCTCAGCGGAAGCACCAGGATTAGTGCCGTTTTCCAGCTGATCCGTGCTTCGGGGCTGTCAGGGCTCAATGGAAGCACCAGGATCAGCGCCAGGTTCCACCTGGAGCTCAGCACTGATCCTGGTGCTTCTGTTGAGCCCTGAAGAAACACCAATCAGCTGGAAAGCAGCACTGATCCTGGTGCTTCTGCTGAGCCCAGAAGAAGTGCCAATCAGCTGGAATGTTGCAGCAGGGTCTTGTGATTTACATTCAGATGCTTGGCAACTGATTCATATTTATGATGGTCACAGTGTCCCAGGGTCATGTGAAGTGACCAAAACCTGCTGCAACCACCTAGCAGACGGGGGGAATAAAAACCAAACACCCCCCTTGGATAGGAGGAAGAGCACCGACGGGTGGGCAGGCAGGTGTCTTGCTCGGCTTTGGCTTGGGGGGCACTTTTTTCAGTGCCATTGTAGCTTCAGTCACTAAGCAAGCTGTTGTAAGTCGAGGACTACCTGTACTTTATCACTTTTTTTTTCATCATCAAGTTTTTGACACCTTGCTAGGTGGCTGGTGATACTCGGATATTGCCATACCCTAAAAGTGGTACAATGGGTGAAAATATTGAAAAGCCCTGGGCTAGATAACCTCAAAATTCCCTTTCTACATTTACATTCTATGATAGAGCTGTATATTCGCCATCTGGTTGGAAGTGTATGGCAGGAAGGTGATAGAAACCATCACCCTTAAACATTGGTGTGTGCAAATGTGAAAAAGCTGAACAGGTCTCTCGACCTCAAGAGCCCCCAAGGCAGACCTCGTTTCCGTTTCAGGGGCTCTGCTGGTGAGGCAAGCTGCAGGCCACTTTAGCTGACTGTGTTCAGCAGGTCAGCGGTTCAAATCTCACCGGCTCAGAGTTGACTCAGCCTTCCATCCTTCCGAGGTAGGTAAAATGAGGACCCAGATTGTTGGGGGCAATGTAAATATATATATACATTGCTTACTGGTCTACACCGCTTAGAGAGTGCTTGCACTTAAAGCGGTATATAAGTCTCATAAATAAATAAATAAATAAATAGCCTACAGCCAGCTGTGGTGAGCTACTGCTGGTCAAAACAAACATTGTTTTCTGTCTTGCTTTTATTCTGGCATAGAGTTCTGAGCTATGAGCCATCCAGTGCAGGATGGAAAGCCAAGCCAGGAAAGTTTAAAAAAAAATCCCATCCCTGCCAGGAGACTAAATACAGGTAGTCCTTCACTCACAACCATTCATTTAGTGACCATTTGAAGTGACTTATGATCATTTTTCACACAACTATGGCCACATGATCAAAATTCATATGTTTGGCAACTGACTCATACTTATGATGGTCGCAGTGTCCTGTGGTCATGTGATCTGCTTTTGCAACTTTCTGACAAACAAAGTCAATGGGGAAGCCAGATTCACTTAACAGCCATGTTAGTCACTTAATAACTATAACAACTCTGCCAAAGAAAGTTTTTAAAATGAGGCACAAGAACCGCCTCACTTAGCAGTAGAAATTTTGGGCTGTCGTAAGTCAAGGTTTGCCTATATGGCCATCAGAGACCAATG